GCTTTTACTCTTAGATTGCTTCAAATGAATCTTTAGGTTTGTTGTGGTAGTCTACATGTAAAACACATTTTTTTATGGTATGGTAAAAATTTCAGCTGTCAATTAGTAGAAAATACTTTTTTGATCGGTTGGGTAGTTTTCGTTTAGCATTCGTTGAAAGATGGAATATTAAAACAAACATTTTAGTCATATTTTGCATTTTTGTTTCTGCAAAGCGAACAATGATTCTCCTAAAGGTGAAGGTGCTGTTTATGGTGTCGCAGTCTTGAAAAAACAGCTATGTTAAAATTGGTTTGGAAAATGTCATTCTGGAGATTAAAGTTTTGGACAACCTAATTAAAGCAATAATCGATTCGGCTAATAGAAACAATTTGGCTATGTTTAAAAAATTTTGCCAAACTTACATTCACCAAGTGTACTTGACTACGAACCATCTAATTAAAACCCTTCAATTAAAAAAAATCATGATGGTGTCAAATTGTGCCTTTTTCGCTAATAAAAACTAGAACTTTTATAAACTTGGGATAATGATGCTTCTTGGAAGATAACAAAAGGTCATCAATCAAAATGATACATGCATTACAGAACAAAGTTATTTAATTCCACGCAAAAATTGTCTTTTATTTTCCAACAAAAATGCGCACTTACTTAGTTGCCAACGATAGCTACCAATTTCTAAAAAAATGCGTACTTACTTAGTTGCCAACCTGATAACTACAAAATTCCGTTCCAGTTGAAAAAAAGATAAAACAAATAAAAGAGATACATAAAGAATAGATTTTATTCCGTTCTGAGCTAAGAAAATGTTAACTAAGTAGACTCATTAAGGAATATATAATTATTCAAAATATAAATGTATATATCTTGTATTTTATTAAAAATATTTTAATTTATCAAGACGAGCGGCGAGCAATGCTGTTGCTAGTCGTTGCGACTTTGACACGGGTGCTATATGAGCGCGAGCGTGTACTTGCTCAGGTTTTTCCTACTTTTGAATGTGTTCTACCACATGAAATAAAACAAAATTTTGCACACTAAAAGAAAATTCAATAGCATTTCTAATGATGCTAATTAAAAATTAGTCCAAACAACCGCACTACCCGAAAATTCAAAACAAAAAATTATTTTCACTTTTTCATGAACTAAAAAATAATTATTAAACAATATTTAGGTCACAACGTTTTTAGAAACCTCACGGTGGAGCGGGGCCCAAAAAAGGTTGGAAATCACTGAACTAAAGCTTTAAGCAGATTTCTCAACGTACTTTTCGAGTACGAGCAAAGTGTCTATATAAATGTGTTTATATTGTTGCAATTGTGCAGAACATGTGATGAATGCAATTTCCGCTTATTTATCTGCGTCCTTTTATCGATCTTCAATGTGCAAATATATGAACACATATGCGTTTGGAATTTTCTATTCATTTATTACCAAAACAAAGTATTATTCTTCTCCTTCCTCATTCGTATTCTAATGGCATACACACAGTTTGCAAACGGTTATTACATGATTCAATGATTCATAGCCGGTATCGTAAAATTGCAATATCAATTTTCTCTATGTAGACAATTCGTTGTACAATTTTATTACCAATTTTTCTCTTCACCGATTCATGCAGATTTTCACTATTGCATTTCCTATCTTACATTAGAATACTATTATAGTATATTATACTCCTTCTTTATGTCATCGTAGACGAGGTTAACGTTACTTTTATATTTCTCAAAGTGGTATTTATTGAATGATTATTATAGAAAATTTTGTTTTACTGAAAATTTTATAAAAATAAAAATTCTTTTTATTTATATTCATCAATGTCTATGTAGTGCTTCAAACAGGTTTTAAAGATTAATATATATTTTATCATGTTTTCTGTGCATTTTTTTAAGTTTAGTTTGTTGAGACACAAATCGCACAGTTATTAATCACTTAATAATAACTATTTTATTAAATTCCCTTTGCATATCATTACGTTACGAAAATGGAAATTAAGTTTTAGAGAGAACAGGCTATCTGATTTGAATGATTGAAAAAACATTCAATTCGTAATGATAGCAAGATGTGGTGATTCGTTTTTGGGAAAGATAGTTTTTTTTACCAAGCCGTTTCATTATACGGAGAGTAAAAAGCGTAAAAAGTGGTAATTTTTGAGAGAAAAAATCAAACAACTATTTTCCTTATAATCCATTTTTTTCTATTGAAAATGATTCGGATTTCAAATTTAATCCTAACTAAAATTCTAAAGCTCACTTATATACTTAAAATAAATAATTTTAATTATGTAAATTAGTTTATATAATTTTTAGAAATATGAGATATGTTTTTTTCAGCGTTCTAACTTTGTTTGAACAAGTTTTGTTTGTTTACTTTTCTTATAAACATATATGAACGTGTTCGTCTAATTTTTAAGCTGTTATATTTCGTCTATAAAATATGAAAGATGAAAGTTAAAGTATTTATAATAATCTATTTGAAAACATTTAATATTCCTTGAATATTTCATTACGGTACGGTAAGTTCCAGCAATTTGCTCGATGTTTTGCTCCACTAGTTTTTATTTATATTTATCAATATCTATGTAGTGCTTCGTGTAGGACTCTTCTTCGTGAAATAGTTTTATAAATTATGTATAAACTTATTACTACTTAAGCTATAAAAAATGCATTTCCAGATTTACGCGCCCATAACTAAAAATATAGAAATGAATGTTTTGGCCGTTATTTTTTTCTGTATGGCGTACTATTCAAAATGTTAAATAAATCCTAAATTTTTATTTTTACAGATTTAGAAATTATTCTATTTTTAGCAATTATTTTATTGATACAATGATTTATGGGTATTTTAGCGTACGATATTGGGTGGAGAAGTTAGACATCATTTTATAGTTTTACGAATGCTTATATTTCTCAAACCCAATACATTTCGGATGCCTGATCTTACATAACCATTTTATAAACTCGTTGCTTTATTTTTTTAACTTCCCGTAGGGTAAGTTATAGTAATCGCAAAAAAATTGAAATTAAAATTTTTTGCATTTCTCGACGTTTCAAAGGTTTCTGAATATTTTGGCATACTTTAGAAAAAATGGATGTATGTGTGTGTGTGTGTGCGTGTGTGTGTGTATGCGTGTGTGTGCGTGTGCGGATCAACCGATTTGAATGGTTCAAAAAACATTCGATTCCTATTAATACGGAAAAGAGCTGATTAGTTTTTGGCATAGGCAGGTCCAGCCGTTTCGGAGATACGAAGCAAAGAGTGCAGAAAATAAAAATCGACTTTTCGAGTGAACGGAGTATCCGATTTGAATGATCTAAAAAACATTCAATTAGTAATGATTAGGAGAAGTGTTTAATAGTTTTTGGCAAAGGCAGGTCCTGCCATTTCGAAGATACGGAGCTAAATATGTAAAAAATGGCAGTTTTTGAGAGAACTAAGCGTCCGATTTTAATGATTCAAAGAACTTTCTGCTTGTCTTAACAAAATAATTGATTTTGGAAAAAAAATTTTTTTCAATTTTTTTTTTTTTTTTAATTTTTTGTATATCGAAAATAATTCAGATTTTATTTTTAATTCTGACTATAGTTCTAATATACTTTACAAATAATTTCAACTTTGCAATTCAGTTTATATAACTCTTATAAATATTAGACAATGTTACAATATTTATAATAATCTATTTGAAAACATTCAGTATTCCTCGAACATTTCGTTACGGTACGGGAAGTTCCAGCAATTTGCCTTAAGGCACGATGCCATAATTGCCTCAAGACAGAATTCCATTTACAGCTAGTTTTTTTGAAGTAAAACTTCTTTAGGCGCGATATGGGTGTAAAAATTTCTTTAGGCTACACGGGTGTAAATCCGTACAAATGCAACGAAAACGCCAACGTGAAGTTGAACACTGCGACGCCGTAAGCGCTGATGTCGCGAGTATCCACTCCCGTCATGTCATGCGTAAGTCGAGCGCTAAACCCTATTATATATGAACTTGCATTAATTGAATCACGTTTTTTATGTTATGTCCTCATGGAATAAGACTTTTCTTAGAGAATAAATGTATCATGGAATATAATAAATTTATACTGAATCTCGTTGAAGACAAAATAATATCTACTGCCACGGATATTTGTGTAGGTTGCCATGCGACAGATCAACAATCATACATTCGTCAGCAGTTTCACAAAAATCGGTTATTGATACCGGGGGTTTGCCGTATGAAATAATTTTAGTTCTGAATAAATTTTACATAATAACAACTAATATCGATGTAAGTGATGGCTTAGTTAATGGTTGTGTAGGAAAATTAGTGTACATAGAACGTGGCGATAATGATGAACTTCTACGTTTATGGTTTGAATTTCCCGGTAAGATAGGTAACAAAATTAGGAAGAAAGCTTCACATCATATTCAAACTCTTAATATCAGTAGGACAGCTGTGCCGATGCTCAGGAGATCTTATTATTATTGATGTTATGTGATTATTAAAAGATGATTTTAAAAATTCAAATATGATGTTTTTTTTTTATTTTTATCTTAATTGCCTACTCATACAATATTAAAAGTTTTACTTCAATCGCGTGTGATCTTTACGCGCACTCTTTTTTTTTTTACCTTTCTATGGGTTCCGTACCAATGCTTATGCGTTAGACGGCGGTGCGGCACTTGCGCGCTTTGACATTTCGTCTCTATGCAGTTCAAGCAATTCGATTTGCAAAAAAAGTTCAGAATTTACAAAATATGTCAAAATGAAGAAAGCATTTTTCTTTTCAAAAAATTTTGTTTTCAAAAAAAAATTTTTTTTTTTGAAAATAATTTTTTGCCAAATTTATAGTTTCTCAAAAATCTATTTTTTTTCAAAAATGTTAATTGTTTTTAAAAAAATAATAATTTTTGGTACGGGAAGATCCTGCAATTTGCCTTAAGGCACGATGCCTTAATTGCCTCAAGACAGAATTCCACTTACAGCTAGTTTAATTTACTAAATTGTATGCATTTTTCAGGGATTCTCCAGTTCTTCGAGTGCTATTCCACGCTGATTCCGCTTCTCGAGCCGTGACGTCGCCACTCTCGTCGCCTTTAACGTCGTCCTACGCGTCGCCAGTGACGTCGCCCGTGTCCCTGCCGCTTAGTTCGTCTCATGGTGGTCAGGCCGCTACGGTGACGGGAACCGACGTGTGCGTAGCGGTCCACGTGACTCTCAAAGATAAGCGAATGATAACCGCCGCTTGTAAAGTCGGCAGAGAAGGTGTTTGTTTAGCGCAGGTTTGTAGAGCAGAATGATTTTATTGCTGTACATATTATGCCGTGGTATTTATTGTGTTTTAACCATATTATATTCAGTAATTACTAGGCTTTATACAAAAACCGGCATTTTAGAAAACCGGTATTCTAATAGCACTTTTTCAAAGCCCAGTTTTAACGATTTCGAGTTTTGATAAAAGTATTTGCTGGAATAATGTAATAAAAAATCCAAAGAAAATTTTGGGTGATTAAAATCATTTTTACACTGAAATTATTTACTATTTAATATCATTGATAATATTTTTTTAATGCAATTTAATAGTACAAAGAAATATCAGTTTTTCAATAGTAGTAACTTTCAACTTTCATATAAAGGTGTAAACATTTTTAACTTCCCGAAGGAGAAGTTTATGTTTTCATCAAAAGATCCGACTCGCTAATTTTATGTTTTCTCGACGTTTCAAGCCATTCTGAATCGAATGAGACCAAATTTGGAAAAAGTATGTGTGTGTACGTGCGTAAATCGACGTTTACTCGAAAACGGCTAGATCGATTTCAAAAATTTAAAAGCCATTCGATGTATCTCGATGAGGACTAGCGTTTCTGGGTCTTGTGCGACGATCGGCCAGGCCGCTTCTTCGTAAGTCGCAAACATTTTCGTCCGCGTTTTAGCCCGCAATTCTGAATCGATTTTGAAAATTTAAAAACCGTTCGATAGATATTGATCGGGAATCGTGCTGATTAGTTTTTGATAAAGATCGGCCGGGCCGTTTTCTTGTAATAAAAAAAAAATTCGGCAATTTTTATGATTTTTTTTTGACGGCAGTTTTGTAGATCATACTAAAACATTACGGCCCTACGACAAGTCGTTTAATTTCAAAAATTCGTCAAAGTTTGCAAAAATTAGTATCGTTTCTTTTGGCATTTGTCAAAATTAAACCTTTGATCGACGTTTTCTCAAAAACGCCTGAACCGATTTTATAAATTCAAAATCCATTTTATGTATCTCAATGAGGACTATGATTTGTCAGTTTTGTGAGACGATCTGCCGAGCCGTTTCTTTGTAATTTGAAAAAAAGTGTTAAACTCTTGGTCCACATTTAAGCTCAAACTACCGAATCGATCGATTAGTTTTAGGTGAAAATCTACAATTTTCTTGTAATTAAATGTTGAAAAAAAAATTGAGTCGATTTTTATGGAACTTTCTTTGGCGATATATATCATGGTCTTATAAAACTTTTCCATTTTCTTGTAATTAAATGTTGAAAAAAAATTGAGTCGATTTTTATGGAACTTTCTTTGGCGATATATATCATGGTCTCATAAAACTTACTGAAATATTTAGGCCTTACGACAAGTAATTTAATTTTAAAAATTCATCAAAGTTTGAGAAAATAAATAGTTTTTTTGACGTTTGTTAAAATTAAAATTAGATGATTCACTTGGTATAACGATAGATTACTTGGTTTTAATCAACATACTAAACCATTAACGTCCTACGAAAACTGGTTCAAATATAAAAATTGCTGATTTTTGAAAATTTGCCTTTAGAAAATTCTCCGAGTTGACGTGTTAATCACTGTGAATACTTTTGTTGAATACTGACGTGTTGACACTCGGAATACATTTAATCACTCATAAATTAATTTATTTTTTATTGATTAAGTCGATTATTTACACATATCGGGAAGTTCATAAAACTTGCCTCAAGGCTAAATACCAATACCAACTAGTTATAATAGTGAAATGAAGGAAGGCTATCGATTTGATAAGGTATTTTCATTAATCTGGTACATTTGTCATTTTCAATTTTATTTTAAGTGTGATTAATATATCGAAAACCGCATTTTCTACTAAAAATACGGTTTTCAAATTTTGATATTTTTAGTTGTTCCCGGTTTTAGCCTGAATAAAATTAGTCACCTTATTTGAATAAAAGAAACGCTCGCACTTAATAACATATCGGTTAACGAATGTTTTTTTTTACCAGGTTACCATTCCCCATTCTTGGTGGCCTGCCTTGCCTCCACCTGAATCACATGGAAAGCCTTCGTCGCCACGAAAATCGCCACCGCGCTTGCTGCGAGTATCATACAGCGTACTCCATGCTGCGCCGCAGGATGCGCGCACCTCCGATGGTTCACCAATTGTCGAGGGCTTAGGTGAAGGTACCGGCGAAGGAGTTACTGAAGGCGGCCCTTGCGAAGGCAGGGTTCAGATACAACCGCCAACGCTACTGGGAAATGTACCGCTCGTGCCGGCGAGGTAATAATAATAATAATTGGTAGTCCACCCGAAGACAGGTCCACGAGAGCACCACACATCAATAATTCCATTTCCTGCTCTTGTTTATTATTCCCATCGCCATTTCTTTACCACTATTAACTTTTTTGTACCCTTTTATGCATTTTCCTTTCTACGCGTCTGCTTCCATGATTTCTGTCTATTCTTGGTCGTGTGCTTCGGCTTTTAGTTTTCTGTATTTTCTGATTTCGCATAAGTTATCAGTAATCTGCATTCTTTTTTTGCCAATCTTTTGACGTCGTGTAGGAATCCCTCTTTTTGCAAATTGGATCCTATCTAGTTTCCCTTCCTTTTAATGATCGCGCTCAGTAGAATTCTTTCATCGCACACTCTTTTCAGAACTTCTATATTTGTTACCTTATCTTTTTATTTTGACTTCTTCATTCGCCTCTAGCCCCACATTTTAAAACTTTTCAGATAGTTTTTATCTACAAGAAAAAAATTAAAGTCTGTTAGAGGTGATTTTTTAACTTCTACCAAAAGCAGACCAAAAGATCCATCAGTAAAAAGAAAAGACTTGCATTTGTTGCAAAACCCTCTTTTTCTGTTGTGAGCCCGGCGAAGATTGTTTACGATGTCTGATTTGTACCCTTTGCTGTCATAAAAATTAGCATCTCAGTATGTCCTTACCCTATATATCAATTTGTCCGTACTACATGGGCAAACGTATTTTTGTGATAGGTTGCATTTTTTCTTTATAAATATATTATTATGATTCCTACTTAATTAAAATACTATCTTAATTGTAGTCAATAAACCAGAATGAGTAGAAACGATTGAGACTCGCCATATCGCCAATTAAATAAATAAGTATTGTGACGATGTTGTGACGGGTTGAAGCTCCCTTCTAGGGGATTGCAATGACTGCCAAATCTTATATTTTAGCATTGTATCCCCATTACGAAGAGTTACCTCAACACTCCAGTCGCCCGCTAAAGTACCTGTAATTACCTGTGGGGGTTAGTAGCTACTATGCGAATGAAACCAAGATTACTTTTATAACTAAATCTATTTAATAATTAATAATGCATCCTGTATGTATTTGTGGAACATGACTGTACTTGCATACCATCATGTTCCCTAACTAATACCACTTATTCTTATATCATTCTTATTGCGCTTATATGGGTAGATGGGGAGAATAGCTACAGCTTATAATTTACATGATTTGACCTTTAAGCTGGACCTGTCTTGTAATAATAATATTGATTATCGTCCCAATATCATTATAAAACAAAATACTATGTAATTTTGTTCGTACTTCCACTAAACCCTTTTTTCTGTGAATGCATTCGACTATTATGATAATAAATTTATTTTTATGACAGTGAATGATTTAAGTATAAGTAGATCGAGAATAATTTATCAAACAGGATTCGAAACAACACTTTTCACGCTACATGTGCATTTATATCAAATAGAAACAAGCTCATCAGTCACCCAAATTCACTCGCAAACTTCTTAATAACAGAGAACTATCGACGCAAATTGAAAAGAAAAGCGCCACTTGATCTATGTCATCAATTTTCCTGATAAAGATTGAAATAACTTAGTTATTATTTATAAGAAATTATTTATAAGTAAATAGTTAAGATTATATCATTATCAATAAAATATTGGAATATTATAGCGAATGGGAAAATAACAATTGAGTTATTGTCCATATAGCATACAATGTACCTTTACCTTTACCGCTGACAATTGTAAATTCCCAAAATTTACTAAATGTCTTTTAACTGGACAGTTGTAAATCAAATAGACAATAAAAAAAGATGTGCATTTATATGCGTATAAAGACCCGAACTAACTAAAATTAAAACCGAACACTAAAATTGGATTTTGGAGCAGAATAACATTGACTACATTTCCAATAGAATAGTTGTTTAAGAAAAACGTATTACAATATTTTTCTAACAAACCTAATTTTATTCACAGAGCTGCGTACAAAGAGCTGAGAGCTGACAAAGCGTTAACGATGTTAGTTCCACATTCGCCGTTATATCCTTTGTCTAGAATTCATGTGCCAGTTTTTCTGCAGGTGGTTTCTGGACAAAACGGCGAACAAACTGACAGCAAGCAAGACAATGAAATTAAAGGATTTGTCATTAGGTAATTTTGTCGTGCATTTTTTGCTTTTAATAAATATTAAACCATTTTAATGTACAAATAATTATTTTTTTGTTTAAATTAAGGTTCAATCATTTTTTACCGATAGTTTTTAAGAAGAAACTGCAGTTTCTTCATCATCGCTATGTTATTATAAACCTACCGACACAATGTGTCGAACAGATTGACCGATAATTAAGTTATATCTTTTATTATTCATTTCCGACAATCATTGATTTGTTATATTATACTTTATTCGGCTTTCTCACATTGTTTACAAATTACTTTAGTCTGAAATGTTTTTACGCAAAATTTTACGCAAAACTATTAGTTTTATAACTATTGTTTATTTAATAAGTTTTTCGTACTCCAAAATCTGAACTTATGGACGATGATGTGAAAACTTGGTTTTATTGAGATTTTGAATATCATCGCCAAGTTCGGAAGCTAACTGGAACAAAAAATTTTTTCACTTAAAATCTACGTATTATCCATTTATATCCAAAAAATTGAAAAACACCTAAAGTGTGCACCACTCTTCGACGGAAACAACTTTCCAAATAACATTATATTTCACCGGTCATATTGATCACCCGCGCTAGTTTGGCCACATAACTTTTTTTCCCGGAATATAATAAAAACAACTAAAATCAAAGATTGAAGGAAACAGTTTTAGTATATTCTGTATTAGAATTGTCATGACATTTTAACGTTTGAAAATGTCTTAGTTTTACAAAAAGGATCATTTGACTGGCGTTGGCAAGTTCAGTATTAAATACACATCAATTCTTACTTTTATATGCTCAGTAAACGATCTTTAAAACATTTAAAACATAGATGGCATAATAGATCTACTATAAAATTGCTATTCACAATGAAATCTTAATTTTTATCCAAACACATTTTATACAAACCGGATAATATATATATAGCGCAACTTTCGATCGAAAGAGCTATTTGCATTAATATACTTATGTTCTTAATAATATGATGTTCAGAATTGTCTTATATAAAAAATTCCGCATCAACTTGTCCTATTTACATTGAAAATGTTAACACTGGTTAATATAAATGTCATCATCAATTCAATTTTAGTTTGACAAAATATATTTTTTTAATCATTTTCCAGAGCTCGCGTGAAGGCCGGTCTCAGAATTTTAAGCGCAACCGCCTCGACGGAAGATTGGCACATAAATTTCGAAGTAAACGCCAAACGTACTGTTGCTACCGTTACCGCCGACAAAAAGGCCAAGGACTCTCGGAAGGACATCGATATGGACGAATCTCAGCAAGATGCTAACAGGTTAGTTAAACATGTAAATTTTTTCCTAATCTCATTATTTCATTGTATGAATAAAGATGAGGAGCGCTTGAATTGGCATTAATGTAATATACGCAAATGTTAACTTTTTACTTTGAACTTGATTTTATTCAGGTGTTATTATCATTATTAATTTCCCGTAACCGATTTTAATGATTCAAAAAACATTCGATTTCAATTGATAGCGAGCTGATTAGTTTTTGGCAAAAAAGTCCTATATATTACAGTTCTTTTTGAGAAATAGGATTCGGATGATTTAGAAAGCATTTTGTTTGTGTTGTGAGTGTGAAACAAGGATTAGTTTTTGAGAAAGGCAATTCTTATGGATTTTAACATTTCAAATTTTTTTCTTTTAATTTTCAAAAACTTTTATTTTCAAATATCGAAATTGATTCGGTTTTTAATTTTAATACTAGCTAAAATTTTAAATCTCATTTATATACTTGAAATAAATCATTTTAACTTTGCAATTCAGTTTATATAATTCTTAAAAATATGAGATGGGTCCTTTAATTCTAATTCTCAAATGACTTACCCAAAAAGATACCCAATAGATTGTAATTATTGTTAAAATAATTGCAAACACATTATTTTTTTAAATTACTTCAAAGTTGAGTTCATAATGAATATAATAAAAAAATAATACTGATCTGACCAACACAACTGGAGATAATTAACATAATACAGAGGAAGTTCATAAAAATTTAGAAAATCAGCAATATTTCAATCGTAAATATCAACAAAAAAAATGTTCGCCGGCAAAATCTTGAAATTCGTGTCAAATGATTTTATCTATAAAAAATATTCTAAAAGCCAATTCTAAAATGTCACTTTTTTACCAAAATCCGTACGATTTGCAAAAGAATGATGGATCAATTCTGTGATCAGTATGTATCTAATATTATTATCACCGCCATACTCAAATGTTTAGGAACCCAAAATTTGATAGTTCAGATTTTACCTGTTCTTTAAATTTATATACATTTTTAACTTCCCGAAGGAGAAGTTTATGTTTTCATCAAAAAATCCGATTCGCTAATTTTATGTTTTCTCGACGTTTCAAGCCATTCTGAATCGAATGAGACCAAATTTGGAAAAAGTATGTGTGTGCGTGTGCACCAACACGATTTTTTGCCGTAAATTGCCGTTTTCTCAAAAACGGCTGGACCGATTTCAAAAATTTGAAAGCCATTCGATGTATCTCGATGAGGACTATTGTTTGTCAGTTTTGTGCGACGATCGGCGAAGCCGTTTCTTCGTAAATAGCAGAAAAGTGAAAAGTTTTTCGTTCGTCCACGTTTTAGCCCCCAATTCTGAATCGATTTTGAAAATTCAAAAATTGTTCGAAAGATAATGTGTTGGGTTGGGAATCGACCTGATTAGTTTTTTGGTAGAGATCGGCCGGGCCGTTTTCTTGTAATAAGGTGTTAAAAAAATTTTTTTCGCCGATTTTTATTATTATTTTTTTGACGGTAGATACCATAGTCTAATAGATCATACTAAAATATTACGGCCCTGCGACAAACCGTTTAGCTTTAAAAATTCGTCAAAGTTTGCAAAAATTAGTATGGTCTTTTTGGAATGTGTCAAAATTAGAACTTTTATCGACGTTTGCTCAAAAACGCCTGAACCGGTTTCAGAAATTTAAAAACCATTTGATGTATCTTGATGAGGATTATCGTTTCTCAGTTTTGTGCGACGATCGGCCAAGCCGTTTCTTTGTAATTTGGAAAAAGGTGTTAAACCTTTCGTCCACATTTAAGCTCATAGTACCGAACCGATTTTAAAAAATCAAAAACTGTTCGAAAGATATTAGTTGGGAATGATACTTATTAGTTTTAGGTGAAAATCTACTGAGCCGTTTTCTTGTAATTAACTGTTGAAAAATAAAATTATGCCGATTTTTATGGAACTTTTTTGGGCGATATATATCATGGTCTTATAGAACTTACTGAAATATTACGGCTTTACGACAAGTAGTTTAATTTTAAAAATTCATCAAATTTGAGAAAATGAGTAGTTCTTTTGACATTTGTTAAAGTTAAAATTAGATGATTTACCTGGTATAACGATAAATGCTTGGCGTAAGGCCGTAATATTTGCTTGGCGAACATACTAAAGAATTAAAGTTCTACAAAAAACTGGCTCAATTATAAAAATTATTGATTTTTGAAAATTTGCTTTTAAAAAATACTCCGACCGGGTTGACGTGTTCGATTTTCAATAATGTGTAATAAATCCACTTCGAATACTTTTAACTACTCATAAATTAATTTATCTGTAATGAATTAAGTCGATTATTTACACAAATCGGGAAGTTCATGTAACTTGCCTCAAGGCAAAATACCAATACCAACTAGTTTATCTTAATTTAAAACTAACACTATACCCAATTTTAATTCGATGCGATTATTGAATTATATAATTCAAATTGAGAACATTTCCGTTTAAATAATATGTCAATTTATTCTATATGAAAATCTCATCTTACATCTCTTTTTTGTATATTATATACAGTACTCATATCCATTCGTTAATTGCAATTATTCTAAGAGCAATAAAAGAGTTTTAATTTCTTAATTAGCCTTCATCGTTCGTTTTTTATAGCTAGTCAGTGTAATGCAGCTCCATATAGCTTGGATATGCGTCAAACGTTGATTTTATTTCACTCTTTTTAATACTTTACATCTCAATTAAGGTAATTGAACCTTGCTTTATCAATGAATATAATAAATATGAAATGTAATAAAAAATGTAATCTTTACTGTTCTAGTTTATTGGTAATCTATTGTTTGATATAAAGTTGATTTACTTTCAAGATAATCTAATATATTTATTGATTTAATTTTTGATATGCATACACAAAAAAATCCGATTTGCTATTTTTTTGTTTTCTCGTTGTTTCAAGTCTTCCTGAATCGAATCAGACCAAATTTGGAAAAAGTATGCGTGTAGGGTAGAGCGGGGCTAGTTGAGCATAGGGGCAAGTTGAGCAATCGAAATATCTCAAAAACTACTCACCGTCTGTTTAGGCATTATATGGCGGAAAGATAGAGATTTGGAAGAAATAAACATCCCGCGATCGCTAGTGGCCGCTGGACAAATGAGTGAGGCTCACGGCCGTTTTGTTTATTTTGAGACCAAAAAGTAAAATCGTAATTCATCACGAGTTTTCGTCTGGTTTAGTCAAATGTTATTTATTTTTAATGAGGTAAATGTTATTCTTTCATATAATTATAGTACTTTTAAGATGCACAGAGATTCTGGGTATATTACTTACGTTTTTTTTTATAAACTTACTTTTATTTCGAAATTCCGAGTTGGGGTTAGTTGAGCATAGTTGCTAAACTTGTTCTGTCACTAAGACAATTACCATTAACTTTCAGAAATTAATTATTATTTTTAAAATTTAAGCTAAGTCTATTAGTAATAATGATTTTAAACAAAAATACTGAATATAATGGTAAAATTATTCCAAAGATACGATATTGTTTTGTTGATTCTGCTTTTCGTTAATTATTCAAAGCAAATAACTTTAAGTTTTGTTTTTTCTGTCAATAAAGAATATAAATATAGAACTGTTTATTAAAAACTTATTTTATTTCATCACTAATCGACATTGAACCTATGATTTCATTATACTTTCTTAGTGCTCAACTTGCCCCATCTATGGGGTACATTGAGCATACTTGACTTTTTGCATTTAAACAGCTGTAGTTTTTAAATTTTACTTATTACCAAAAAATAGTATCAACACTTTTGTTAAGCGATAAATAGCAAATCCATTAAGCCGTATAGAAATTTATTTAGACTTTTCATTGAGGAGCCACATCCGTTTAAGAAAAAAATTGCTCAACTAGCCCCGCCCTGCCCCATGTGAGCCGATTTTTGATGTTTTTTTTTCTAAAATAATGCGATATGTCGTTTTCTCAAAAACAACTAGACCCATATCAAAAATTTAAAAGTCACTCGATATCTCGATAAGGACTAGCTTTTATAAGTTTGTGCGACGATGATTCGAGCCATTTCTTTGTAATTAGCAAAAAAGTGTAAAATTATTCGTTTTCGTTTTAGTCCAACCTTTTTATACGATTTTAAAAATTCGATAGATATTGATTGGAAATCGCGCTGATTAGTTTCTGTAAAAGATCGACCGGGCCGCTTCTTCGTAATAAAAAGTTTTTTTTTTTGATGATTTGGATGACGATAGATTTTGTAGTCTGAAATAACATACTAAAATATTATAGGCTTTTGAATTGAATATTTTATCTCTAATTGCTGAATCCTAATTCTTATCAAGTTATTACGTATTCGTACCGCAAAGTTTATGCAAATTTCCAAAAATGCTACTTACAACTGTTTTTGGAATAGGTTTTGTGCAATTGATATTTTTACCAAATTTTTTTGTTTCTTGCCTTTTGAAACTACAAAAAGGGAAATACCACTTACAGTTAGTTCCATTATTTTATTATTTATATCTTATATGTATCATACTTTATATGTTAGTCCACGGTAGAATATTATACACGAAACATTTCGTTCATGTTTTATTAATACGATATGAAGTACGTGATGTTTTAATGGATCACTAAGTAAATATTATACACTATCTTGAGAAACATCATCATAAAAAAGATACCATGGTATATAAAATAATATTTGCTTCAAATGTTATGAGATAATATATGATTTGAAAATTATGTTCATACAAGTGAATGGATTTAACCGTGTAAGGTAAAAATATGTGTTATTATAAGGTGAAATATGTGCTTATATTTCTGTCTTTTTTTAACTCCCCGTAGGGTAAGTTATAGTAATGGGCCGAAAATCGAAAATGAAAATGTTTGCACACAAAAAAAAATTATTTGTGATCACTTGCTTTTAGCAAAATGATATTTTTATATTTAACATATGCAAAGTTAAACTTTATTAAACTTGTATGCTCATTTTATTTAAAGAATCTTTGTTTATGAAATATGAAA